ACAGGTAAGATAGTTGTGACAATCAAAATTCGAGCAAGAGAAAAAGTATCACACTAAGCATGTGGACTCATCAAAATTACATCGTTAGACAAGCTGGTGAATCCTGGACATTCAAGGATACATGTAAATCGAAACGGAGGAAAATAGATAGTTGTATCATGAAGGATCTAATGAAGAAGTCGGTTCGCAGAAAAGCAAGACTATGACAGGTTAATTCGAAAGAAGTCGTTTGTATGGTTTTCTTTTGTTGGCGCTTTTGTCACCATTTAAAGTATGGTGAGGCTTAAAATGCAAAACTTTAAGTCATCTACGAAAAAAGGTTCGCAAAAGGAGTGGAAGTGGTAGATGAATGAAAGAAGTAAGGCGGCAACGGAGCCTTGAAGAACCACGGTAGAGCGACGTTGATTCGATTTGTCCGAATTTCCCTCTAAGTGTGCAACTGGGAAGAACCAAATTTGGGGATGTCATTAAATGAACCGCGTAAAAACTCTAACTCAAGGCGCAGCGACCACTGTGGAATCAAGTCGGTTTTTTCGGAGAGCCGCAATCGCACCCGAGGCACTACTAATTGTACGGCTGCGTAGGATCCAATCAAGCCACGACGTGGAAAAGCAGGTTCCCGTAAGTTTTAAGGGATTTGTAGGATTCAGAGCCACATTCCTCTAATTCGAACGTTCCTTTACTGCTTTGTTTCAATTATTTAGATTGGTTGACACTAAAATTGAAGAGCGCTTGTTTCTATTTTTGCTTTTACTGTAGCCCATCCGAAGTCGGGTTTTGAACTTTGGGCATCTGATTTGTAAGGCAGGCATGTTGCCACAACTCACCAGCGCACGCTGGGCGCATACGTGTGAACGGGTGAAGGTGATCGGGCATGGGTGATGTGATTGGTAAAATTGTGAGTTGTAGGTTTGCACTAACCTTCTGAATAGTATGGGAGGAATAGTTCCCCCGAACGTTACGCGGTTTGACCAGTCAAAACGGACTTACTAGTTTACCAATCTCAAAATAACGGCTGGCACTGTGAGTCAACTGTGAAACACAAGAATGAAAGGCCCTCTGGGGATTTGAAAACCTACTGGAGTCACCATTTTGACGGGATAACAGGCGTTTACCAATCCACCATCAGACCTTAGTACCAAGGGTTGCACGGCGATGGACCTGTAAACCGAACCGTCAATGACTTCTAGTGCGTTAAGATTACTGATGGTACTTGAGGCGCTTGTTGGCTGCAACTTTTTCGCGGATATTCTTACCTGAAAAGTTACTTTTTACACAATCCATTGCTAACTTCCTTTTCGTTGAAACTTGCTTACAATTAGATCACATGCACGTCATTATCCTAAATGGGGGCGTACAGTGAGGTTGTATGACAATTTAAATATGGGCCATGTAGCCATTGATTACCGACCGCCAAACAATATATAACAACTGGTCATTTAGCGAAATCACCCTTTCGGAGAGTAGCTGACATGCGTTTAAAATATCCCAGAAACAAGTGGCAGACAACGGTCGTAAAAGACAAGCAAGACAGAGGCAACGGTGTGCAACCCACTCAAAGCGCTTAGTCATTAAACAGGACATATGGTTCGACCCGTACTTTGGACGTTTGCAACCAAGAGGTCTTCAGCAGAGCTTGGTTACGGCTTTTAGATACCTGCAGTCGGATTACCCCCCCAGCTAGGATGCTCGCTCAAAGCATTAACCAAAAGCAGTAAAGTCAAAGAAACTTATTAAGCGCCGACCAAATCCACTTGGCTACCTAAATCCAGCTGCTACCTGAGCCGAATGAATGTAAAAGCAGGCATTTGCCAGTTGGTGTTTTGGGAGCAGTGAGCGATGTTTTTGCCACTGACGCCAAAGCGCGTGATTTCATACCTTCTCTGATTTTCCACCCAAGTTCCTATGTACTTCTTGTGAAGAGGCCTCTTGATATTATTGCACAGCACCAAATACACTCGAAAAGTATCTGAACCTCGCGGAAAGTCACATGCATGTTAATTATTTGGATTTCCATCAGCAAACGTATACAAGTTGCTTTCTTAGAAAGAGGCGAGTATTTAGGTGGGAGGCCCATCACAGTGAACTTTATGTGCCCAGCCTATTTAGCTGCCGATTCACACGCACAGTAACAAGCAAAAAACGCATTATCATAAACCGTCGGATATAATAACTCAAATAAACAAATCATGCATTGCAACAATAACATTAAACATGTTTTACTATTTGAATACATTTATGTTACTGAATACGTTTCCTGGATGCATGTTAAACCGAATAACACGACTTAATGTGAAATGACGGATACTACTGATGAACCATGCACGTAGTCTTCGGTTTGTAGCCAAGCTCCGCCTTGCATCTGAGAGAAGGTGAAGCCTACTGCGCGAAATGTGGAAAAGCGTTGCTGTGTTCCGTTAATTTTGTGTAATGGCCTATCAAAATCCCGAAAAGTTCGAGAAAAATCGCCAGAATTTTTAGTCCAAGTTTCCATTTATTTACCCGTAACTGCTTAGTTCGTGCTGGCTAATAAATGAATTCGCAGCAAAGGCTTTTTACCTTTCATCCTTAGCTGACACGAATCATTATAGTTTCGAATCAAAAAGTGCGATGAATTGACGAAATTTCACCTGCTGTGACCATCAAAGTGGACGAGAAATAGAGTACCATCCAATCTGGTGTTTTCTCTCTGACCGCATCGTGAGAGGCATTTTTCACCGACAAAGTACATCAGAAAAATAATAACGCGTCTGTCAGCCGCTCTACCTAGGTCGCGTATCAGGTCCTCCATCCAAATCGGAAGGTAGAGCGAATGGAATGAACAGTTCATTATTTGACATGATTTACCATCGAAAAAGAGTGCATGGCATTATACGGAATTTTATGGGAAACATGCGCTGATTGCACCTTATGTAACGATTATGGTCTGAGATATTCAGGAAAAAAATAAACTGTGATATTATTGATATGTTATTTGAAGGTTAATTGTAGGATTGGATTCATTTCCCGCTCCGCATGGTACACACCTGAATACTACTAAATACCTGATTACAATTGTTTTCTGTACCTTACTGCGGTAGATTTTAGGTCAAGTACATTCCTCTGCTTGTCAGTTGTTGAAGCCTGTGGACATTCAACTCACATCGCCCGCCGAACTGTGTCAAGTCAAAGTGACGTTCTCTAGACTGTTTATTTAGCGGTTTGAGGTTGCGAGCACTACAGCTGCGCCGTGCAAAATCTTAGGTATATTTGTTGCCCTGTGAGGTCGCAATGTAGGGTTCATTGGCATCATTCCAGCCGTGCTTGCAAGCATCTATCGACTAAGAGAATAAAGGATCGGTATGAAGGGCCACAAATGGTAACGTAAACACCCAGGTTACTCAAGTCTTTCCATCAAGCACATTTGTCGGCTTTACGCCTCCAAAAACTATTATTTATTAACCTCACGTCTCAAACATTGACGGTTTACTCGGAAATTTTTTCAAATATTTATTTGATTTTTACACAGCAGCATCGTGATTTATTCGTGGACCTGGGCAGTCAAATGAGTTTCAATATGGAATACGGACACACCAATTGTCATCAGTCTCCAAGCGAAAATGCATATATAAAGCCCGGTGTCGAAAGGAAACGCATACGATTAACGTAGTTTGCCAATAACTGAAAATATCGTTTCTTTGAGGGACAACTAAACACCTGCATATTAGCCCCAGCAAGTTCCAACATTTTTGCATCCTCTGGATCAGTGTTGTTTATGGAAACATACAGATCTAGAAATAACGAGCATACCCGATCGTTTTATCACATTTTTCAAAGATCCGTTCTGATCTATGGGTAACACCTTCATCAGTTGTTCGTTCGCAGCTGATTCCCAGGCAGATTATATAATTTTGCAAGTCGTCTACGGTATTTCAAAACAGAGTATCGGTTTAGATGGCTGGGCAACCTCGAATATAACCTACAGCGGCCACAACAACTCAATGCAGTTCACTTGGATCAACGCCTGACAATACGGCCATTACACTGAGAATTAAACAGTGGTCAGTTATTTTATTGTGTTCTCCAAGGTTATATGCCAATGTGGTTTTAGCAGCTTATGCGTAAATATCTTTCGCGTATTGGTGATTCAAAG